TTCCATTTGAAAAATCAAAGTTGCTACTGCTTTCTAATAGAAGCGGCAACACCGCATTGTCGAAAATATTCTAGTTGGCTAGATAATGTCCGAATATGCCCTCCATTAAATTTTCAAAGTGATCCGTTGTCTGGTTCACCAGAAACGTCTAATGTGCCATCCACCGTGAATCAGCCTGTATATAAAATATATTTCCTACACGTCTATGTGTATGCATTATTTGGATGGATTATTTCCGAAAGGCCTATGTCCAAATTAGTGGACATCTGATAGCTGAGATCATAAAGACAATAAAGGTTAAAATAAATATAATCATTTTTCAGTTTTTGCCCCGCCTAAAAAAATTGAAGATCTGGGACTGAAAGCGGCACTCAGTACTCAGCAAAAAAGTATTTTTATGACATTTCTTTTCGTGATTGAAAAATAAATGTATTCTTCTCAAACAGAAAAATGAATATTAAATTCAATTTTCAGTGGTTTTATTACTTCGCTATAATTGAAGACCTAATTCTCCGATTTGGATGGGCCCTTCTGATATCGATGACAGAAATGGGATTTGCATTGGAGAGTTCTATGGTAACATTTCTTGCACCACTTGAAGTTTTCAGGTGAGTCTCAGCTATATTCATAAGGACCATAACTGATTGAAAGTGAATATGATATATATATAGCAGTCGTGTTCAATTTTGTAATCGACTGGTTCGAAATCAACCATGAGAATGAATATTATGTGAGTGACTCTTTGAAAGAAAAAATTACAGCTGTGAAAGCTATTTCCCGGGTTTTCTGGCCGTGGCCAGCAGGTTTTCATGACTGAAGTTTCGTCTACTACTGCGGTAGGCATTATCAAAGGCAATGTGGTAACGGTCGCAGGGCTCGAGTTGGTGTTTCCATCGTTCCGAACGCTTCAAATACGATGCTTGTACTTGACTCTTTGTTCTTGTTATTGGTGGGCGTGACTTGGTTGTGTACCTCTAGTCTCTAGTACAGGTAGCCAGATTTCATTGTTATTCATTGCCTCTCCATTCCGCACCATCTGTTGAAACGAAACCAATTACAGAATTGCAACCTTCTTTCAGAATGATGAATTCGACAGTACTTGTTCCTAGCGATTATATCAAGAACGCATTGAAAGGTATCCAAATAAATGAAAGTTTTGTTCAATCATTATGAATTAGGTTTATCTTGTCTTGATATATGTAAATATTTATTATTTGCTTCTTGCTTTGATTCTGATACGCTCCATTCAATTTAAGATGAGAATCGGAATATAATGCATGTTGTTAATTCAGTTAAAGGTAAATTTAATACAGATCCGAACCAAATAAATTTGGATGAGGATCAAAATCACAGGTCGTCCCTGCGTTTTTGAATTTTTATTGCCTCTATATGTATACTCTTGGATAGTAATTTTGAGTTTCATCGAGTAATAATACTACCTCAGTGGTAGACGAAACGTCAGGCAAGGAAACCTGCAGACCACGGCCAAAAAACTCGAAAAATAGCTTCCACACAGTTTCAGAAAATGATCATGAATGTAGCTAGGTATTCATATCTGTATTCCAATGAAAACTTGAAAAATAGGTTAATAACGATTGAAGAAATACTTGGATAATTGACGAATGGGAACGAGTATGTAGAAACTGAAAATGTCTCACTGTCTTCATGATGAAAATTCAACAAAGTTGTTTACTGATCGGGATTATCTATTGTGAATCGGAAAGAAACTTTTTCTGGTAGAAAAAAATTTGGAAACGATGGAAACCTGAACATAAAAAATATTCACTCTAGCTACCACTTCATAACATTCGTTATTAAGTGTTAGCTAGAGTATTTGGTAAATATGCAGTAAATATCTGGAGAACTATGCCTGAACAGAAGATATAATATCGGCTGGGAAAAATTCATGTACTCGAACCAGAGGATTTTCTTCGTCGTTTTGTATTCAAGCAATTATCCATTTTTTTTCGCAGACGGCCTCTTTGGTCTTTTTACAAATATTTCTCCAGTTCTCTGTATGTTTACAAACTTTCTTCGTTTTGCTCGGGATCACTTTTTAATAGTGAGCATAGTTAATCTGAGACGTTTATTGGAAACAGCAGCCGAGAAAGATTTCGTAAAACCTTAGAAACCTGGTGGCAATCTGCAACTTTTTTTCCGACTTTGATAAAATTCATTTTGAATTGTAGAAATCAAAGAACTGTACTTTGGGACCAAACATCATTTTTTTCACGAAAAACCAAGGCTAGCTGCGAATATTTCTATAGGCTGAAATATAAGAAATTGTATTAGCGGCTTTTTAAGGGAAAATTCACAATCACCATTGGACTGGGCACCCCCTCAAATGGTGATATACCTATACCAAATTTCATCAAAAAATATTCAATAATAATAATTTTGTGGTCGAATCAACATTCACATTGTACCATGATAGACTGTTAACTGCACACCTCCCAAATGGTTTTTAAATCTTGGCCGTGAAACACCGTGCGGATATGCAAAATCGCGCTCTTTTAATCTGGCACTGGAAACAAGACTATTGTTGGTTATCATTGCTGCTGTCAAAAACCATATTGTCAGATTATGATCGATTAGTTTGATGCAGTGCCCGTCATCGCACTTAAAAAATGCGCAAATGAACTCGCACCAGTATTCTCCAACCTGCCCTACAATAAAGGGGTGTTTCCTTCTTGTTGAAAGATTGCTCGCATTCAGCCAGTTCCTAAAATGGCCAATAAACATCTTGCAAATAACTATAGACCAGTCGATTCCCACATAGCAATAGATATTCCAGGTATATTTCATGAATATACATTTAAGGATATTGTATTATGCTATGAATATGCCATGGATATATATATATCTTCTGGAGAATATTCCCTGGAAGTGCTCCTGGCGAACCTTTGATATATTTTAAGAATATTCCTTGGGAATATTCTTGGAATATCTTATAATATTCTTAGAATATCTAAGGTATATTCTATTAAGAATATTCCAGGAATAGAACCCGAGGAATATTCATAAAATATTCAGGATATTCTTAGTTTATTGTAGGAATATACAATAGAGAAACACCATAGAATATTCTTTAAATATATTTTATGAATATTCTAGGAATATTTGGAATATTCCAAGAATGTGACGAGTAACCGCTATTAGGCATGNGATATATTCTAAGAATATACCATATGGTATATTCGATCGACAATATTCTTAGAATATTCAAGTGAGAATAATCCATTTATAGACATTCTATGCACATTCTTTCGGGAATAATCCTGCCATATTCATTCAAGCATATTCTATGAATATTCTAAAGGCATGTATGTATTCCAAGAATATTCTATAAATATTTGGAATATATACGTTCGTTTTATGATATACAGGGAATATTCCATGAAAATCTAGTGCTGTGTGGGTTTGTAATCAGTGATATCAAAAATCATGAAAAAAATCCGAAACCACCAAGTCCATAATATTTGGAAAGCTCTAACACCTTGAGTGACCACCAATATGGCTTTTGAGAACAAATATCAACAGGCGACCTCCTATCGTATGTCACCCATATTTGGAATAACGCAATCTAGAAAAATGGAGAGTCAAGAGCTGTCGCGCTTAATATTTCTAAGGCCTTTCACCGTATGTTGCATGAGGGTTTGCTGGCCAAACTTGGATGCCATGGCTTGTCAGATCATTTTTGTGTATGGCTCTCCAGCTGCCTGAAAGAAAGTTTCCTGCAAGTGGGCGTCGATGGATATCTCTCGAATACTTTTACCATCAACGCTGGAATCCAATATATTGCTTTGCTCACAACAGCATACTTGTATCGTCATTTCATTTGGAATTCAGGACATCGGCTGTGGATGCACATCTTCACCGGCAGAAGGAGGTTGCTTATCTCAATGAGGATCTAGAAGTGATTTCGAGTTGAGGTAAAAGTAACCAGGTTCCATTCAATGCCACGAATACACTTGCATCGGTGTTCTCCAAAAAGATAATTGCCCCCGAATCGGATATAATAATGTCAGGTCAGACAATTCCGCTTTCTTCTTCGATGAGTTTGTTGGGGGTTAAAATGAACACCAAAATATATTGGCACGATCATGTCGCTGGAGTTGCAAAGACTGCTTCTCAAAAGCTTGGAACATCTTTCCGAACCAGAAAACTGTACACACCGCAGCAACTTTTGATGCTTTATTGAGCTCAGATCAAATCTTCTTTGGAGTATTGTTCTCATGTATGGGGCTCTGCCCCTAAGCATACCCTGAAGCTGCTGGAATCCATCCAGAAAAGAGTCATTCCGCCTGATTGGAGATGCGAACATCATTCGCAACCTTGATAGTCTGGATATGTAGAGTGTACTTTCAGCTCCTTTCTCGGCCATGAAGGCGGATCGCCAATGCTATGGGCCGGAATATCAAAGATAGGTCACACTTGGATGGTTTTTGTTGAAGATGAAGCATTACCAGTACTAAGATACATTGATTATATTCAAGCAGAAGATGTTGTCCTATATTCACACATTCTGGGTGACAACTTGATTCTTATGTAAGACAATGCGGGACGATATTTCGTGTTTCGTGTGTTACAGTTACAATAGAGAATGAAAATTGGCCAGCATACTACCTAAAAGTGAATCGTATTGAACATGTCTGGGACTGTCTAGGTAGACATGCGAGAAATGAGAAAATACCAATTAGGAATGAAAATGAGCTTCGTGTTGCGCTCATGGAGAAGTGGAATAAAATGTCCTACAGTATATTTGAATTATCATAAATGGAATGCTTCTGAGGATGGTAGGCAATATTGAAAAATTCGTTTATTGTTTTCATTTTCAATAGTTAGCTTCTTTAATTGTTTTTTATTGTATATTTTTCTATAATTATTGTGAAGGATAAAGAACATACAGAGAAAATACAACATTGTATTCAGTAATTCATAAATTTGAAACAAATCAGAATTAATGAAGAAACGGTGTACAGGAAATGAACCAAAGTTTGCATACAGGATATTTTTGAGTGTCATCCAAAAACTGTATTTCGCCACAGGGTGTCTCAAACCTAGATGATAGAAACATAACTTTCTTTCCCCCTATATAACATATATGAATCGAATCTTATCAGAAAATCTGTTCGATGTGCATTAATCTGAAATAAATGGCCGTCTTTATAGTGAAAGAAAAATATCAAAATGGGGCTTAATTAAAAAAGTTATCCAATTTGTTAACATTTAAAGTCGGCTGTATTCTATGCAACAGAGTATTATATATTCATATTCGATCTGGAAAATTGAAATTTACCAATAATTGAGGTATTCTTTCAAATCAACCAATGTGGTAACGTTTCACTATTCGATGCGGCCCTGGAAAGATTAGCGTTTTTTGAACTGACGCTCGAAATAAATGCAAAACTATAAGCAAAATTCAAAACTGTTCCAGTAATCGAAAATTCATTTTCAGGAGATTTATATGGAACTTTTTTCGGTTAGAAAACGAACATCTGAATAACTGCGGTAAGTTTAGAGCCGTGCGCGATATTTCTGTCGCTCCTTTGGACACATCAGATCAAATGCTCATTGTTAGAATGATGGACGAAGAGGACGGAGTAACGAACAGACGAAAGAGAAAAAATGCTACGAAAAACTCAGTGGAACCAAGAATAATGGCAGGACGAGAACAAGTTCATAATTCAAATGATTGAAGTCATATTTATGATATATACTTATTGACTTTTGGAATATTTATTTTCTTAGATTAAATTGAAATACATGAATAGTTTTTGGTTTTTCATTTCATCAAGAAAGTTTCTCAATTATTAGAATTTTCATGACGAAAATCATACAATATGATATAATATTTATCTGTATTTCCT